AATGTCACCTCAGAGAGGTGCTATGCAGATTAACTTGGTTTAAAATATAAAGCAATTCCAATAGCAGTGCCTGGTACCTTGAAAACGCTCAGGGTCAGCTGTTATCTACAACAGTGCTTCCCAATAATTATTACTTGGCCTGAATTATATTTCTAACACATTTCGGGTGCTTATACCTTCCTATGACTAGTGTCTAACATACTGGGTATCTCAGATACATTTTTTAAAAAATCTCTTGAGACTAATAAGAGCTCAAAATCTTGTGTCAGTAACCCAAGTAACTTATGTTAGATCTAAAACTATTTTGAGTCTACTTCCTATTAACCCTTACCTAGTCCTGCTTATGCTTTAAAAAAAGTATAAAAAGAGGAAAATAGACATTATAATTCTCTTATAAAGCAAGTGAATGTTAAGGTTATGAGTTTCCCTCCCAGCCTCTCATAAATTTTTTTTTGTTTCAAAGTAATACCCAGACACCTAACCTAGCCCATTTCAGGAAAGTATTTTCATTACCCAAGAATTAAAAAAAAAAAAAAAAGAGAGTAATCTGGGCACTAAATAGAAAGAATTTAAGTCTTAGCAAACCTAAAGCAAATTTGTAAACTTACACAGTCAAAGGTCAAATGTGAATGCTAAATGTTGGAAGTGATCATGGTTTAAAAAAAGTTTCTTATAGTCATCAAAATGAAAACTATAAAAAAATAAGTACATCTCTATAAATTCTTCAAATTAACATAAGCTAAAATATTCTGAAGTTGAGGCTTCCTCAATTGGTGATAAATATATAGCTTAAAAAAAAAACTATTTCGCTGCAGGCATGCACGCACACACATACGCGCGCGCACACACATTTGTCAAAGTTAGGGACTAAAAGGACCCATACAGTAAAGGCTCCAGGCAGGGGTAGAGGAGTAGCATAGAGTGGGTCAGATAATTTGGACCCTCTATCCTGAAGAACAGCTAGAACCACTGAATCAACATCCTGTAAGTTTCTAGATAATATCTTTCCACAACCCTACTGTAGCACAGTGAATCAATGGGACTTAAGCAAGCTGTCCAACAGTGTTCTCCTGCTTCTCCTACTGATCTCAATCTCCTTTGTTGAGTTTACCTCATCTGATCAAACGCTGGACTCAACCACCTCAGGGTTCAATTCTCCCACATTTTCTCTTCTGTTTGCACACTCACGGACTGGGTGATCTCATACATCCCATAGCTTTAAATACTCTCTACATGTTGTCGACTTCTAAATTTATATCTCTAGTCCCATCTGCTACCCCTGACCTCTCTGGACTCATATCCAGCTGCTCCCTAGGCAAAGTTACTTAGATACCCAGTAGGCATCTAAATAGATTCAAACTTTTAACTATGTCTTTCCCATCTCCTTCCTCATCTCAATAAATGGCAACATCTACCAGCTGCATTCTTTTTTCTTTTTAGTACTTACCACCATCAGACATAATTTGTTTAATGCCTATTTCTCCCCAGGAGAATACAAGCTGCACGAACAGTTATCTCTGTCGCAATATATGAGGGCTAACGGGGACTAATTTAGGCTGTACGGAAAATGCAGGCCCCAGAGGTGATCTACGGGGTAAAGTCTGAATGACAAGATAAAGCCAATGGGAGGATACGATCAGGATGTTCAAGGCAGAGGACATGACAATTACAAAGGTCTAAGTCCCAAAGAAGCTTGTAGGGACACATCAGGAGAAACTAAAGCCCCTTAAGCTGGAGAACAGGGAACCAGAGGGAGACTACTGAGAAGGGAGAAATGAGGGAGAGAGTAAGGTTCCAGGAATTCAGGGAAAGAAAATGTCAAGTTCAAAGGCCAGGAGGCAATTGAGTCAAATTCAGTATTTCAATACAAATAACAAGAAGCAACAGAGACCTCTTCCAGAAAGACTCAACTAAGACTTTATGCTTCTTTAGGTGGTTCTGTTGGTATGTTGGTATCTGAAACAAATTATTTTCCTATTAGTTTATCTGATTCACTTTTTTGTTGTGTTAAAACTAGGCATTTTTAGTTGGCTTTAGCAGAATTTTTTTTTTTAAAGAAACTCAGTTAATATAAAGCTAAAAGGTTCCATTTCTTTAAAAAGGTCAATATTTCTTTGGTCTCTTTTTTTTGGCAAATTGCCTTTTTAGGTCACCCAGATGATATATTATCTAATTATGGTAACTCATTGGTGACATGAGAATTTGTTTAAACTGTTAAGTGTCCTCTTTCATCTTCTTGAGCTTTTATTTTTGTTTTGTCATTGTTCTAATATACTTAGGTTTTGGTCAAATTAAATCATATAAGTCATGATTTATCACTGAAAAACATAGGCTTTATAATGAATTATAGAACTCCTTTACACTTTCCTAGTATATATTCTTAAAATATCCTACTTCTAAAATGAATCACTAATTTTTAAAACACAAATTCTACAAGATCTTTATACAAGATCTGCTACCAGCTAATTCTTCAGTTGTACTAACATCATGTGACTAAAAGTGTTAATTAATCACTTCAATATTTAGATTTGTGTGTTATTGATTACTTTTATAGAATCTTTGTGGAAATGCAATTAGGCTTTTATCTATAGAGGTTTTTCCTCATTATTTTGCATTCTTTATTTCAGACCTTCTCTGAAACAACAGGAAAAGCAAGAAAAACCACAATATGACTTCACTCATTAATGAAGAATTTCTTCCTTGCCCCAACATGAGAAATATGGCTGAAGGCAAAAAGGATGAATTCTGAAACACCAGAGTTGATCTAATCCCCATCTCCATGACTTTTAAGACACTCTACCCCATTCCTCAGCTATTTCTTCTCCTTGGTCTTTGTTTTTTATCCTGTGATCATATTGGTCATCATATTGGATGTCTCAAGATCCTGCTCATAAAATATCCAAATCTCTGAGTTCAGCCTTCTTGATTCCTAAGGTCTGACTTCCCACTCAGCTACATCTTAACTTCATTATCTAGATCAGCTCCATTGCCAAGTTCAGTATGTTTCAACTCCCACTCCTGATAACAACTTCCGTGTCCTCTCTCAAAATCTTCTCCTCTGTCAATAGTGAAACTTCAACATTATTAACTAGTCATGCTTGTCCTCTCTGCTTTCTTTTTTTTTTCAAATATATTTTATTGATTTTTAGAGAGAAAGGAAAGGAGAGGGAGAGAGACAGTTCTAAACTATTTCTACAAACTCCTCTCAGAGTAAATGACCACTCCTTCCTAACACTCTTTCCACCTGCCCAACCAACTGTCCGAAGGTCTCAGGTTTAACCAATCTTCTCTTCCTTTTCTCCCAGCTCAGAGGAAGAGCTTTCCCCCAGGTGCCCATAGGTCTCAGTGCTATAAGAACATTCCCTTGGCTCTTTTCTCCCCTGCAAGCTACAACACACTTTCCCACACTCTTCAACTAATACATTTTCTAAAATGATAGCTCACGCTAGTTGGTTTATCGCTCTTCTGCATTACTTGTACAGGATCTGATCACAACCTCACTCACCCACAACTGAATATTCCCCTGGCTTCCATGCCATTTCCAATTCTTTATTTACACATATCTCTAACCATTCTTTCCCTGTTTCCATCAGCATCTGCTCTTCTGGGCCATAGTGCACTCACTACCCACATCTCCCCACGGAAATTCAACTTCTATTATGTAACCTCAGACAGCTGGAGTGAGCATTATGTATAAAGTACATAAAACTGTCCTAGTTAGCCTCAAGACTCCAATCAAAGTCACCTCCACTTGTAGTCCATTTCACATTGTATGGCTCTCTCTCTGATACTGAGACCAGACCCTGGCAGGGTAGGCTTATATTTTCTAAGGAAATATGGTTACCCCTTCTCCGCGGTATTTCTTCCACACCTCATCTCTTTGTCAACATGGCCACCAAATTAATCTCTCCTAAATCCCATACTGATCCTCTCATTTGCTATTCAAAAATTTCTAGTCATTGCTCTCCCTTATCCATTTAGCAAATGACACCAAACTGTGCTGCATTTCTAGCACATTTAGTCCACATTTGAGTTTACTTATGTTTACCTATAATTCCCCAACACGATGCTGAAGTATAGTGATATCAGAGGTGATGTCTTAAAGAAGTGTGTAGCCCTCACTGTAACTGACAATCAACATCTTCAGCACCGCTAACATTTATTATGTGCCAGGTATTACTTTACAACAATCCTTGGGGTATATCATACTATTTTTTCCATACACATAGAGAAAGACTGGGTCATAGACAGGGACCTTCACAGAAATTTGAACACAATGGGTATAAAATTATATTTGTAAATGGATAAATATATTACTAATAACCAAGCATTGATAATGCCACATAAATAAATCCATCAACCTGGAATGCATTCCCTTTTTTCCCCAGCCCAGCAAAATCACCCCAGCCTTCAACACCCAATTCATGAATTGCCTTTAATACTTGTAATGTGTCTTTATTATAACATTAAGGTTATTTAGGAGTTTGCTCAATTAGAATGGATTTCATAATGGCAGTTTGTTCAATATATTTTTTACGATATATTTTTATTGATTTTTTACAGAAAGGAAGGGAGAGAGATAGAGAGTTAGAAACATCAATGAGAGAAACATCAATCAGCTGCCTCCAGCACACCTCCTACTAGGGATGTGCCCCCAACCAAGGTACATGCACTTGACCGGAATCGAACCTGGGACCTTTCAGTCCACAGGCCGATGCTCTATCCACTGAGCCAAACCAGTTAGGGCAAATATTTTTAATTATTAGAAAAATTAACTGGAAAACAAAATGGATATAATTTGCTTATGTTAAAAAATGAAATAAGTAGAAATGGCTTATCTTATTAGTAACATTTGATCATCATACAACTTTTTTCTGTAACATTTAGTACATGCATCACATTATAAGGTCTGCTATGGCTAAGCCTAATTTAAAAGGTCTATTCTTTTTTTAAAAAATCCAAACAAAGCGTTATTCTTAAGAAATGAGTATCAGACTTACCAGTCTTCTCCTTTCTTCTTCTACTGTGATGAGTAGTCTTGCAAATTCTTTTAGTGACTGAGCTATTTAGAAGACAAATTTTAAAAAGAAGTATTAACCTCTTTTCATTGCTAATATCTAACTGCACAGGAACAAACATTACAATGAAACTAGTTATAAATTTGTATTTATTCTATAGTTTTATGTTTTTATAACCATAACACAGTATATACAATAGAATCTCAATGAGTAATGGCTATAGATAAGATGTTTGTATACCACAAATCAAAGTTAAGCACATAGCAAGTACAATATTTTTTTTCTTTAAAGACACTAGGGGGAACATAGTTTATATATCTAATATATAAAACTCTCACATTAATAAATAGAAATATAGTACTGGAATCACCTCTAAACAGAATATTACAAATAATGAAAAGCATATTAAATCTATAAGAAGCAATAAATCCAGTACTATTTAGATGTACTTAGTAGCAGCCAATAATACAAGGGCTCCCAGTGCCATCTTTCTAGAAGTTCAACAAATTTTGAATTCTTCCTATATCTACAATATTTTAAACCTTTGCTAGTCAGTGTTGTGGAATGACCACCAGCATCAGCACTTGGGAACTTATTAAAAATACAGACTCTCAGGCACAACCCCAGAATCTGCATTTTAACAAAATCCCCAGGGGACCTGTTTGCATATATGTTGGCATGCACTGCTTTAGAAAATTATCGGACCTATATTGCCCTAGCCTGAGGAAAGAATCAAGTATTCAGAAACTTTAAAAGAACAAACCAAAAATAAATAAATAGGGACTTACAGTGGCCTATTCTTTTAAAATGCATAGTTCCAAATGGCAAGTGTGAAAAGTAATTTATCCACATCAATTTTTGTACCTTGTACTTAATATGAACTAGTAACTAAAATAAAATGGTTTTGTTACAATACTAAGGACACAAATAAGATAAATGCAAATTTTATTTTCACTTAACCTGTAAACCTTCCCTTCTAAGCCCCTACTCTTAGGCTCTCCCCATCCCCTTCCTTCACCCGTACTAATATTGAAAACATTGTGCGAGACCAGAAGTCTGGCCCCAAGCTCACAATAAAGGCAAGTAAGTCAGGAAAACAAAGCAAGAGTCACATTAACAGAACTTATTAAGGAAGAGAAAGAATGCTTTCCACTCAAGAATTTAAAAGGGCAGTACCTCCCAGCAGGCTCCCAGATGTCTGCAGGGAGTGCACGCCGCCAGAGTGAGCTCCCTCACCAGGCCTCCTCACCAGTCTACTGGGACACAGTGTCCTAGGATCCGGCTCCAAGACCCCACAGTGAGTGCAAGCCAGGGGGAACACTGTGCCCCACCCCCACCCTGGACCCCAGAACCATACTGCTAGCCTGACCAGGGGACACCCAGTGCCCGCTCCTCCGCGAATCCCGGGACCTGCTACCAGAGTGACCCAGAGCAACCCAGAGCACAACCTACTCTGGGCCATAGGAGAGCGGGGACTATGCGACCCAGAGCAACTGGTGCCTGCTCCACCCCGGCCCCCTGGACAGCCCTGCTGGAGTGACCCAGAGCAACCCACACCCGCTTCACCCCAGCCCAGAGGGGTGACCCAGAGCAACGCAGCACACACCTCACTCAGGGCCACAGGGGAGCTCGGACTGTGAGATCCAGGGCAACCCACGCCTGCTCCACCCCGGCCCCCAGGACAGTCCTGCCGGGGCCATCCAGAGCAACCCAACGTGCACCTCATTCAGGGTGACAGGAGAGTGCGGACTGAGCGACACAGGGTAACCCGCCCCCAATCCACATTGAGGAGGGGCAGACTGGAGCAAGACAGCAAGTGTCTCACTCTGGGCTACAAGAAAGTGAGGACTGAGTGACCCAGAGCAACCAGCACCCACTCCACCGTGAGCCCAAGGTTTTGCTGCTGGAGCAACCTGGAGTAACCCAGCATGTGTCCCACTCAGGTCACAGGGGAGCTCTGACTGTGCAACCCAGAGCAACCCGCACCCGTTTCTCCCCTACCCCTTGGACAGTCCTGCAGGGGCTACCTGAAGAAACCCAGCACACACCTCACTCTGGGCCATAGGAGAGCACTGCCAGGCAGCCTGGAGCAAGCCAGTGTGCCCAGCCAGGGGCCACAGGACCACATTGCAAATGCACTGCCAGAGGGACCTAGGGTGCCACCCTGCCACAGGTTCTGGAGCCACACAGAGAATCGCATGCCAGAGGGTTCTGGGTCCTCACAGGGAGTCGCACACCAGAGGAACTGTGCACATGCTCCCACCACCCTGAGCATCTGAAGCAGACAACTGAGGGACCAGATCCATGGGAGAAGGGGATACAACTAAGAGCAGAGACAATAAAGGCATGAGACACAAGGCAGACCCAGCCTCTGGGCTAATGATTTCTGGACCATTGCCCTGATAGGGTCTTCAACCTCTCAAACCCCAAGCAGGGTGCCCAGGGCCAGAAAGAGACAGCAAAAATGGGGAGACAAAGAAACAACCCCCCCAAAGAAAGAAAAGGTGGCCTCACCAGCAAAGTAACTAAATGAAACAGAGGCATGCAATATGTCACAAAAAGAATTTAGAGTAAGGGTCATACAGTTCATAAACCGAATGGATGAGAAAATCAACAACTTATGTAAGAATCAAAACTTATATAGCTATAATAAAAAACACAATGGAAGGTTTCAAAAGCAGACTAGAAGAAGTGAAGGACAAAATTAGTGAGTTAGAAGGTAGGACAGAAAAACACACCCAATCTGAACAGCAATTGGATAAAAAAATTAGAAAGCAGGAGGAGAGCCTAAGGGAACTTTGGGACAACATGAAATGAAATAACATACATATAATAGGGGTGCCAGAAGGACAAGGAGAGAAATAAAGATTAGAAAACCTATTTGAGGAAATAATGACAGAAAACTTCCCTGATTTGGGGGAAGAAAAAAGTCACGTAAGCACAGAGAGTCCCAAACAAGATGAACCCCAAAAGACCCCCACCAAGAAACCCCGTAATTACAATGGCAAACGTTAACGACAAACAAAGAATCTTAAAGGCTGAGAGAGAGACAGAGAGTTACCTACAAAGGATTCCCCATTAGAGTATCAAATGATTTCTCAACAGAAACATATCAAGTCAGAAGGGAATGGAATGGAATATACAAAGTGATGCAAAGCAAGGAACTGAATCCAAGAATACTCTATCCAACAAGGCTATCATTCAAAATTGAAGGGGAAATCAGGAGCTGAGCAGACAAAAAAAGGCTAAGGGAGTTTATCACTACCAAACCAGCAATGCAAGAAATGCTAAAGGGACTGTTGTAAAAAGAAGAAATAAAACGGGAAGAAGAAACATAGGTACAAAAATAAAAAAGGCTACACACAAGTACTTACAAATAGTAACTGTAAACATAAATGGACTAAATGCTCCAATCAAAAGACATTAAGTGGGCCCTGACCGGTTTGGTTCAGTGGATAGAGCATTGGCCTACGGACTGAAGGGTCCCAGGTTCAATTCCAGTCAGGGGCATGTACCTTGGTTGGGGGCACATCCCCAGTAGGGGGTGTGCAAGAGGCAGCTGATCGATGTTTCTCTCTCACCGATGTTTCTAACTCTCTATCCCTCTCTCTTACTCTCTGTAAAACTCAATAAAATATATTTTTTTAAAAAGACATCAAGTGGCTGAATGGTTAAGAAAATATGACCCATATATATGCTGTCTACAAGCCACCCACCTCAGAATACAGACTGAAAGTGAAGGGATGGAAAAATATTTTTTAGGCAAATGGAAATGAAAAAAAAGCTGGGGTAGCAATACTTATATCTCTGACAAAATAGACTTCAAAGTGAAGGCCATAACAAGAGATAAGGAGGGCCACTTCATAATACTTAAGGGATCAATACAACAAGAGGATATAACTCTGGTAAACATATATTCAGCCAATGTAGGAGTACCCAAATACATTTAAAAAATAATAATTTTAAAGTCCAATCTAGGATTTTTTTTTCTCTTCCTCTTTTCAGAACTGCTAGGTTTACAGTAAACTAAGCTGGTTTGAAATGCTATCCCTACCCATTACTTCACACCGGTTTTATTCACAGTTACCAAAACAGAAATCAAAGGATTACCTGGGAATCAGATCAATCTTTTAAACACATTAATGGCCTTAGAGTAGGATTACTTTTTTTAAAGTTTTAATTTCTGCAAAAATAACTCTACCAGTGTTACAATGTAACCCAGTTTTGACAATAGTAAGTTGAATAGAAAACATTTTTCAAATATATGGATTTTAACTGGAGGGCATAATAACATTCTATTTTTGTTCTATTGTCATCTATGGGTAAAGAAAGCATTTCATCATCATTCTGGCAACTATCTACTGCTGCTAAAGATCTCTTCTGGTGAGGCTGAAAGAAATCACAACCAAACTTTGGGTTAATGTTGACAGAAGACATTAACATGCCTAGGGAGAAAGAATCTAAGAGATAAGTCAGTTTGGGCTACAGGAAATGGAGGCAGCTGGTACTCCTGAAGGTGATAAAACAAGGGGAGATAGAAAGAGATAGTTGAGAGTAAAGAAACACTTTAACCCCACATTTCTCTTGATTCCTCCTAAACTATTTAGTTATTATTTTAAAAAAAAAGGAAAAGAAACTTTACCAGCACATGCTTCCTTTTATTGGCATCTATTGGATGACATACTCTAACAAAACATGGGCCAAGAGAAAAGGTTATGGAATCTAGAGATAGTAGCCTAATACAGAAAAGAAGCAAATGGAATTCTCAAGGTGACACAGCTGTATAGTCCAGGACAACAGTTGTACAAAAGGCCAAGAGAGGATCTTCAGAGCACATACAAGAGACAACCAAAGAATGCATAAATAAGTAGAACAGCAAATTGATCTCTCTCTCTCTCTCTCTCTCTCTCTCTCTCTCTCTCTCCCCCCTCACTCTGAAAAAAAAAATCAATAAAAAAAAATAAAGAAGTAGCAAGATAGTTATGATCTTTACAGCAATGGGAAAAATGGCTAAAAGTTTAAAATGGTCTTTCTGGGCAATTAA